TGCTGGAAGCTGGCCCGCGTTGGCGGGAAGGGGCGTTAATAGGCCAAGAGGAATCCGCTGGTCGCTCTCCCTTCCCGCGGCCCACGGCCTCGGCTCAGAGCCCGCTCCCGGCGGCTAGGCCAATTGGCCCACTCCGCGCCGCCCTCCTGTGTAATCAAGGGCATGGCCATATGGCCATCTCGACCTATAGAATGGGGATGGGCTTCGAGCCCACTCCCCGCGGCTAGTAGGCCAAACGGCCCACTCCGCGAGGAATGCAAGCCGAGGCTGGACGTGGCGCGCTGCCTCAATCACTGGCCGCCTGCATCCTGACACGTGCTCTCGGACGCGGTACTGCCCATGTAGTCGTAGCCGTCGTCCATGTTCATGTCCTCCTGGGCCGGAGCGCTCCCAACGTACTCCCTCGGTGCACCCAACGCACGCGCGTGCCCGACGGCGCCGAAGTAGGAGGGGAAGAGATTGAGGTCTCCCTCGGGCGGGATGATCTCCTTCGCGTTGCGAAGCAGGGTAGGAACCTCGAACAGCCCCCCTTCGGTCGGCTCGCGTCGCCGGCTGATGGCGTCTGCCGCCTTCGACGCCGCGCCAGTGGCGTGGTTCAGGGCCAGCGCCCCCGCGAGCAAATTGATGCGGAACCCTCGGCCATTGAGCGTCGCAAGGAGCGCGAGGGCTGCGACGTTGTCTGCCCGGACCTCAAGGCGCACGCGCTCGGCGCGCCGGCGGCGCTTCCACTGGCGCAGCGCCACGACAAGATTGCGTGCCTCCCAGAGCTGTTGGCCGTCTGGCGAGCCGCTCTCCACTCCCAGGAAGCTGGCCGCCGACTCGGCGACGCGAGCCGCGCGCCACTCCACGGATACCCCATTCGCAACGGGGTGCGAGCCGAAGCTCCATGGGCACGCGTCCCCGACGATGGACAGGTTCGTGCCGCGGTTGAGGAAAGGCTCCAAGCGGCGCACCATGACAGTGGCGCCCGTCTGACGGCGGATGAAAGCGCGCAGCCACGATGACGAAGCGCCATCTGGCGCACCCACGCGCAATTTCTCGGGCGCTCGGGAGCCCTCGACTGCAGCGGTCTGGAGAGCTGGCCATGTCTCGCTTTAAGGAATGGCCTCGACACGGAGATGATCGAGGCTAGAAGCGACGCGAGCCCAGCGATGGCGCGGAGGGGCGCGACCGCTACCACATTGGAGCTCATGATGGAGCACAGCATCTCGTCGAACTCTTTGACCTTCGCCGTCGACCCCCCCCGGCCCTCGGCGAAGCGGCATCCGATCCAATCGACTTCCTGGCAGTGCTGGGCCCTGTAGAAGGCAGGGCGGAAAACGAGGAGCTGGAAGGCGATGGCGACTATAGCCATGATGCGCCGGCGGTGCGCCGGTGCTCCCAGGATGGCGACGTTCAGATCGTCGACGAAAAGCTCGAACCTCGCCCCCGGCTCCCCAGAGGCATCGCGGAAGAAGAACGACTGGGCGCATCTGACCGCCAGGGCAGCCGCGGCCGCCAATTGAGGGGGCCGTTCCTCGGCCCCTGGGTTGCTCGAAGATAGGCCTGGCATCGGCCGCGGCACTTGCCGACGAAATTATCCCAGTGCGACCCTACCTAGGAGTTGGAACCCCTAGGACAGCAGCATTAGTAGTAACAGTAACGCTAAGCTAAAGCAAAGCTAAAGCTAAGCTAAAGCTAAGCTAAAGCTAAGCTAAAGCTAAGCTAAAGCTAAGCTAAAGCTAAGCTAAAGCTAAGCTAAAGCTAAAGCTAAGCTAAGCTAAAGCTAAAGCTAAGCTAAAGCTAAGCTAAAGCTAAGCTAAAGCTAAGCTAAATATAAGCTAAAGCTAAGCTAAAGCTGTACAGCAGCTAAGCTAAAGCTAAGCTACAGCTAAAGCTAAGCTAAAGCTGAGCTAAAGCTGAAGCTAAAGCTAAGCTGCAGCTAAGCTGCAGCTAAGCTCAAGCTAAGCTTAAGCTAAAGCTAAGCTAAAGCTAAGCTAAAGCTAAGCTAAAGCTAAGCTAAAGCTAAGCTAAAGCTAAGCTAAAGCTAAGCTAAACGCTAAGCGAAAAGCTAAGCGAAACGCTAAGCTAAAGCTAAGCTACAGCTAAAGCTAAGCTAAAGCTAAGCTAAAGCTAGAAAGCGAAAGCTAAAGCTAAAGCTAAAGCTAAAGCTAAAGCTAAAGCTAAAGCTAAAGCTCCCAGGGGACTGGGGGGGAACCGCGGGGCGGGGGCCGGGGGAACCGCCCGGGGCGCTTTCCACTGCCCGGCCCCTTTAAGCTAAGAGAGCAAGAACCCTTCTAGGCAGAGCCTAGGTAGGGAAACAACCCTTCTTTGCCGGGCGGGGCGGCATCTGCCAGAGCGCGTCGACGAAGTCCACGACGAACAAATCCGCGCCTGCGTCCGCAGAGCCCGCAAGCCAGCGCGGCGAGGCCTTCGAGGGGGGGGGGGGGGCGATGTCCCAGACAGAATCCGCATCTCTAAGCAAAACTACCCGGCGAGCGCGCCGGGTCGCCTCGGACGCGCGCGCCGCTCGGCTTCAAATCCAGCATCAGTCGCCGCTCCGCCTGCCCGTTTTTCGCGCGGGCGCGGGCGGCGAAGCAGGCGAAGACCGGCCCCCCCCCCCCCGAGCTCGCGGCGACAATCATCCAGGATGGTGAACCCGCGGAGGTAACCTTTCTGCGCGTGCGACTGGACATCGTTCGCTGCCTCATAGCCCTCCTCGAAGCTCTTGTAGTTCGACAACTTCTCCAGCGGCGCGGAAGCCCCCGCCGCCGACGCCTGCCAGGGGTCGTCGCGGCCCCTCGGGAACGCGTCGGCCTCGGCGCCGGGGGACCGAGCGAGACCTGCAGGTCTCGCGGGGGCGGGCGCCCCAGCATGCTGGGGCGCCCGCCGCGCACCGCTCAGCGACGCCGGCGCCTGGGCCCCCGGCGGCGGCGGCCCGCCCGCCCGACAGAGACGCCCGAGTCGGCGTCCTGCATGGGCCACTGTCGACAAGGCCTGGGTCGTCGGCGCGGAGGGCCCGCGATGGCCGCAGACGGGGGGCCTCGAGCTCGTCGTCGCTGAGGTTCAGGCTTTCTGGGTCGGCGCCGGGGCCGCGGGGCCCCTCGATCGAGCGGCGGGCCCCGCTCTCCATTGGAGATCCCCGTCAAGGGGCCCGAGCTCGAGGCGGCCGGGGGCGCGCGCGCGCCCGCGGAGGGGCCGCGTGAAATCCGCGCGAGGGAGAAGGCCGTAGGCCCCAGACCTGGCAGCAGCAGCGGCCGCGAAGTGCGGCTCAGGAGCGGCGGGAAGGCCCGGTGGGCCCCAGGGGCCCGCGCGCGTCGGCCCCTCGCCCGCGCGACGAGGATGTTCATGGACCCGGGCGCGCAGCCATGCTGGCCGCGAGCAGTGGGCCGCCGGGTTCCTGAGCCCCCATTCTGCCCTGGCGCCGCTGCTCTTCGGGGATCGCAAAATGCCTCCCTGGCGGTGGCGGGCTCGGCTCCCCATGCCTCTCCCCCGACAGGCGCATTCGCCGAGCGGGGGGCATGGCCGCGCGCCTCCGGCCTGTCCATCGCGAGATTGCCCCGGATGGTGGCGCTCTTCTCGGTCTTCGCCCCCGGCTCGCACTGGGAGAACGTCGCGTCGTGGGCGCTGGGCGCGTCGAGGAGCGAGCGGACTTCTGGCAGCTGCAGCACGCTTGGCTTCCCGGGCCGGGGCGCGGGCTGCACCAGCCCGCGCGGTCGCCGATCGTGCGCGAAGATCCTGGCGAGCTCAGCGGCGCGGATGGCACGAAGAGTTCCCGACCGGACCTGCTCCCTCTCATGGCCCCGCGGCGGAGCCGGCGTAGACCGCAGACCTCCGGCTCGCCGGGTCCACGCAGAGGCCGGGGGCCGGCGCCGGCCTCGCGTAAATCGGAGAAGCTCGAGCGAGGAGGGGCCGCGAACACGCCATTGGACTCGCTGGCGGCGGCCCTCGCCCAGACGCCCTCGAAGACGGCGTTCTCTGCCGAGTCATGGGCCTCCCGTCCGGTCTTAAAACCGATGACATCGACTTTAGCGCAAATGCTCTCGAGGCGCGCGTTGAGGCCGCGTGGCGCCCCCGCCGGCCCTGGGAACGCGACCAGGAAGCGGGGCCCCGTGCCGTCGACTTCGCGGCGGTCTGGCTGCGCCGAGGCTGCGCGGCATGGGCGCGACGGGGGCAGTGTGGCTCCAGCTCGGCTGCCGTCATTGCCATAGCCCCCGCCGCAGCTGGCGGGTGCAGCCCGCTTAGGGTCTCGGCGGCGGCCATCGCTGCCCTTGCCCGCCTTGCCGCCGCCGCCGCCTTTTCCGGCGATGCGCCGGGCCTGGCTCGGCGGCGCGGACCGCTTCGTGCACTCGGTCGGGTGGCTGCTTCCGTGAGCCGTGTGCAGGCAGCGGGAACACTGGTGGACAAAGTTCGGGTTCTTCTCGCAAGCCACACCCCGACCCCGGTTGATGCACTCCTCGGTCTGGAAGCCGCAGCACAGACGGACGCCGGACCGATTGCTGACGAAGTGCTCGTCCTTGATGTTGTGCGCCTTCTCCACCGTTTTGTGCCGCACGCCCCGCGGGCCGTCGACGTCCTCGCGCGGCCGCTTCGGCGCGAGGTTCTCGCCGGGGCGCGGATGCCCAACGGCCGGCGGCGCGGGCGGCGCCGGCACCTGGTGCTGGCCCAGCGGCGCCACAGGGGCGCCCCCTCCACGCGGCGGTTGGCGAACTGGGCCCGTGAGAGGACCAGGTTGGCAGCCCGCTCAAAGCTGTCGGTCCAGAAATTAGGGAGGGGGAGGAGGAGGAGGAGGAGGAGGAGGAGGAGGAGGAGGAGGAGGAGGAGGAGGAGGAGGAGGAGGAGGAGGAGGAGGAGGAGGAGGAGGAGGAGGAGGAGAGGAGGAGGAGGAGGAGGAGGAAGGAGGAGGAAGGAGGAGGAGGAGGAGGAGGAGGAGGAGAGGAGGAAGAGTCCTTGATGCCGGTTTCCCACACAGGAGTCCCGAGGCATGTCCTCCTTGAATGGGACCTCGGCCTGCCGACCGGCTACCTGGCAATCTGCGCCCAGCTGGGTCCCGCCGGACCCGGGGCACGTGCCGGCCGACAGCGGGCATCAGCTTGGTACTGGATTCCCCACGTCTCGGCGCCATAGAGATTACAGTCGTACTTATTCCCAACCATCCTGTGGTGTTGGGTCCTCGTTTTGAAGAAACGGTCCCCGCGTCCTCCTGTCCTCTCCTGTCCTCTCCTCTCCTCTCCTCCTCCTCCTCCGCCTCCCTCCTCCCCCTCTTCCCTGCGCTTCACCCGCCCAGTACAGCGTTTCGTAGCCCCATAGGAGCTCCGCCGAAGGCCCCAGTGCTGCCGCCCGCATGCGTCACCCACACCCAGTTCGGCACACCCCTCACACGTTTCGTGGCCCCATAGGGAGGTCCGCCGAAAGCTCCAGTGCTGCCGCCCGCATGCGTCACCCACACCCAATTCGGCACACCCCTCACACGCTTCGTGGCCCCATAGGAGCTCCGCCGAAGGCCCCAATGCTGCCGCCCGCATGCGTCACCCACATTCAATTCGGCACACCACTCACACGTTTCGTGGCCCCATAGGAGCTCCGCCGAAGGCCCCAGTGCTGCCGCCCGCATGCGTCACCCACACCCAATTCGGCACACCCCTCACACGCTTCGTGGCCCATAGGAACTCCACCGAAGGCCCCAGTTGCTGCCGCACGCATGCGTCACGCACACCCAATTCGGCCCACCCATTCACACGCTTCGTGCCGAAGGCCCCAGTTGCTGCCGCCCCGCCGCCCGCATGCGTCACCCACACCCAATTCGGCACACCCCTCACACGTTTCGTGGCCCCATAGGAGCTCCGCCGAAGTCCCCAGTGCTGCCGCCCGCATGCGTCACCCACACCCAATTCGGCACACCCCTCACACGTTTCGTGGCCCCATAGGGAGCTCCGCCGAAGGCCCCAATGCTGCCGCCCGCATGCGTCACCCACACCCAATTCGGCACACCCCTCACACGCTTCGTGGCCCCATAGGGAGCTCCGCCGAAGGCCCCAATGCTGCCGCCCGCATGCGTCACGCACACCCAATTCGGCACACCCCTCACACGTTTCGTGGCCCCATAGGGAGCTCCGCCGAAGGCCCCAGTGCTGCCGCCCGCATGCGTCACGCACACCCAATTCGGCACACCCCGCACACGTTTCGTGGCCCCATAGGAAGCTCCGCCGAAGGCCCCAGTGCTGCCGCCCGCATGCGTCACGCACACCCAATTCGGCACACCCCTCACACGTTTCGTGGCCCCATAGGGAGCTCCGCCGAAGGCCCCAGAGCTGCCGCCCGCATGCGTCACGCACACCCATTTCGGCACACCCCTCACACGTTTCGTGGCCCCATAGGAAGCTCCGCCGAAGGCCCCAGGGCTGCCGCCCGCATGCGTCACGCACACCCAATTCGGCACACCCCTCACTCGCTTCGTGGCCCCATAGGGAGCTCCACCGAAGGCCGCCAATTCTGTGCCGCCCGCATGCGTCACGCACACCCATCGGCACACCACTCACACGTTTCGTGGCCCCATATGAGCTCCGCCGAAGGCCCAGTGCTGCCGCCGCCATGCGTCCACGCACTGATTCCCACTATTATTCGTCACACCCTCACACGTTTCGTGGCCCCATAGGTGAGCTCCGCCGAAGCCGAGCCCCAGTGCTGCCGCCCGCATGCGTCACGCACACCCATTTCGGCACACCCCTCACACGCTTCGTGGCCCCATAGGAGCTCCGCCGAAGGCCCCAGTGCTGCCGCCCGCACGCGTCACCCACACCCAATTCGGCACACCCCTCACACGTTTCGTGGCCCCAAAGGGAGCTCCGCCGAAGGCCCCAGTGCTGCCGCCCGCATGCGTCCCGCACATTCATTTCGGCACACCCCTCACACATTTCGTGGCCCCATAGTGAACTCCACCGAAGGCCCCAGAGTGCTGCCGCCCGCATGCGTCCCGCACACCCAATTCGGCACACCCCTCCCACGTTTCGTGGCCTCAACCCTCTCCTCCTCCCCCTCCCTCCCCTCCCCTCCCTCCCTCCCTCCCTCCCTCTCTCTCCTCTCTCCCTCCTCCCTCCCTCCTCCCTCACTCCCTCCCTCCCTACCCTCCCTCCCTCCCTCCCTCCCGTCCCCTCCCTCACCTCCCTCCCTCCTTCCCTCCCTGCCCTCCCTCCCTCCTCCTCCCTCCCTCCCTCCCCTCCCTCCCTCCCTCCCGCTCATCAGCATCATCATCATCATCATCATCATCATGCATCATCATCATCATCATCATCTCATCATCTCATCATCTCATCATCATCATCATCATCATCGCCAGCATCATCACCGTCATCAGCATTCATCATCATCATCATCATCATCATCATCATCATCATCATCATCATCATCATCATCATCATCATCATCATCATCATCATCATCATCATCATCATCACATCATCATCATCATCATCATCATCATCATCATCATCATCATCATCATCATCATCATCATCATCATCATCATCATCATCATCATCATCATCATCATCATCATCATCATCATCATCATCATCATCATCATCATCATCATCATCATCATCATCATCATCATCATCATCATCATCATCATCATCATCATCATCATCATCATCATCACCGTCACCATCATCATCATCATCATCGTCATCATCATCAACACCATCGACCTCGTGATTATCGTTATCATCGTCATCATCACCATCATCGTCGTCATCACCGTCGTTATCGCCGCCATCATCATTACCGTCACCATCATCATCATCATCCTCCTCCTCCTCCTCCTCCTCCTCCTCCTTATCATCATCATCATCATCATCATCATCATCATCATCATCATCATCATCATCATCATCATCATCATCATCATCATCATCATCGGTGCATCCGTCACGATGATCGTGGCCCCAGAGGGAGTTCCACAGAAGGCCCCAGTGGCGCAGCCCGCATGCGTCACGCACACCCACTTCGACACACCCCTCACACGTTTCGTGGCCCCACAGGGAGCTCCGCCGAAGGTCCCAGTGGCGCAGCCCGCATGCGTCACGCAGACCCATGTCGGCATACTCCTCACACGTTTCGTGGCCCCGTATGGGGGCTCCGCCGAAGGTCCCAGAGACGCAGCCCGCATGCGTCACGCACACCCATTGCGGCACACCCCTCATCGTTTTCGTGGCCCCGTAGGGGGCTCCACCGAAGGTCCCAGTGGCGCAGCTCGCATGCGTCACGCGCACCCATTGCGGTACACCCCTCACACGTTTCATGGCCCCGTAGGGAGCTCCACCGAAGGCCCCAGTGGCGCAGCCCGCATTCGTCACGCACACCCGTTGCGACGCACCCCTCAAACGTTTCGCGGCCCCGTAGGGAGCTCCACCGACCGCCCCAGTGACGCAGCCAGCATGCGTCACGCACACCCGTTTCGGCACACCCATCACACGCTTCGTGGCCCATAGGGAACTCCACCGAAGGCCCCAGTGCCACCGCCCGCATGCGTCACGCACGCCGCTTTCGGCACACCCCTCACACGTTTCGTGGCCCTGTAGGGAGCTCCACCGAAGGCCCCAGTGCCACCGCCGGCATGCGTCACGCACACCGATTTCGGAACACCCATCATTCGCTTCGTGGCCCTATAGGGAGCTTCACCGAGGCTCCAGTGCCACCGCCCGCATGCGTCACGCACACCAATTCCGGCACACCTCTGACACGCTTCGTGGCCCAACAGGGAGCTCCACCGAAGACCCCAGTGCCTCCGCCCGCATGCGTCATGCACACCCATTGCGGCACACCCCTCACAAGTTTCGTGGCCCCGTAGGGAGCTCCGCCGAAGGTCCCAGTGGCGCAGCTCGCATGCGTCACGGAACCAGTTCCAGCACACCCCTCACACGTTTCGTGGCCCAACAAGGAGCTCCACCGCTCCAGCGCCACCGCCCGCGTGCGTCACGCACACCCATTTCGGCACACCCCTCACACGCTTCGTGGCCCCACAGGGAGCTCCACCGAAAGCCCCAATGCCACCCCCCGCATGCGTCACGCACACCCATGTCGGCACCCCTCATACCGTTCGTGTCCCCATAGGGAGCTCCACCGAAGGCCCCAGTGCCACCGCCCGCATGCGTCACCCACGCTAATTGCGGCACACCCATCACATGTTTCGTGGCCCAACAGGGAGCTCCACCGAAGACCCCAGTGCCACCCCTCGCATGCGTCACGCACACCTATGTCGGCACCCTTCATACGCTTCGTGTCCCCATAGGGAACTCCACCGAAGGCCCCAGTGCCACCGCCCGCATGCGTCACCCACGCCCATTCCGGCACACCCCTCACACGTTTCGTGGTTCCACAGGGAGCTCCACCGAAGGCCCCAGTGGCTGCGTTCGCATAAGCCCACCGTTCCTATTTCGGAGCACCCATCACACGCTTCGCGGCACCATAGGGAGCTCCACCGACGGCCCCGATGGCTGCGTTCGCATGCGCCCACCGCACGTATTTCGGCACACCCCTCACTCGTTTCGTGGCCCTACAGGGAATTCCACCGACGGCCTCAGTGGCTGCTTTCGCATGTGCCCACCGGACAAATTTTGGCACACCCCTCACACGCTTCGTGGCCCTATCGGGAGTTTCTCCGAATGCGTTGCATACAACGACGGTGCTCAAAACTGCATATGGTTGGGTCCTTCGCCAGGCTAACGCTTTTTTCCGGTACGCGATCAACGTGCCGAGGCCCACTGCCGCGAAGCCCAAGAGCTTCGGCTGCGGGACCTCATGGGACCTGACCCAAGAATTGCAATCCACAGGGACCGAAGGCTCCGTGATCTTCGTCGTGCCATCTGGATCCTGCGTCATCCCGGTGAACCTCATGCGCCGCATCAGCCTGTGGTGGTAGGGGCCGTACACTCCGAAGTCCATGTATGGGCATGCTTTCATGCGGCTCAAAATGTGGTCCATGCCCGATATCTGGTCTTCAGAACACTCCGAATCGGGGTCGGGCGCCCGGCCACCCCATGGCCTTCACGTGCGGGCTGTAGTGCGTCGTGGTGATCTCCGAGTCCGCCTTCTTGACGATCACCTTGGACACCTGGTCCGTCGTGCTGCACAGCTCGACGTTGTCCGGGTTGGCCTCGGACGGCGCCTTCTTCGCCGCTTCCCGAGCTGATGATGCCGAGACTCCAGCCGCTGCTCGGGCATCAGCTGCAGCCTGGGCCGAGCGCTGCAAGGCGTCAGCTGTGAGCCGCTCTTGCTGGGCCGCCTGGGCTGCCACCTGTGCCCGGGAGGGCGTCACGCCGAGCGCCACGCGGCAGATGTGGCCCACGAGCAGACAGCCGCTCCGCTGCAGCACCAGCAAGGCTCCAAGAGGCTCCCTGGTTTGAATGGTGTCCACGGGGTTGGTGAACTGCGCCTCCAGCATCGACGCCATCAGACGGAGATGCTCCTCCCTGGAGGCCCCGAGCTTCTCCACGAGAGCGCTCCTGGTCGAACCTGCAATCCGGCTCCACGCGATGACCTTGTCGAGGGTTATCCATGGCCACTACCTCGTCACCCGACGGCTCCATCGCAGCAGCGCTCAGAAGCGCCCGGGGCGGCGAAGCACGAACCTCAGGTGGGGCCCGAATGCGTAAGCGGTGAGTGCGGCTGTTCTGGAGGGCAAGCCCGCCGATCCTAGAGCCAAAATGCCCACGGATCGAGCGTTTGCAAGACCCGCCACCTCCAGGCCACCCCTTCATTGTTACTACCGCATGCTGCTGTACTCGTTAACCAGAGGGGTCCGAAATGAGAATGAGTTGTGAACTCCAACGCACCTACCCATACCCAAGCCCCACCTGCCAGCCCAGTCCTGTCACACAGCTCACAAGTCAAAGTGGCAACGAAGCAAGCATGTGGCGCAGGCGGCGCTAAGTGAAACCGGAGGATAGAGGATGTGAAACTGGAGGTAACTCATATGATGTGCACGGCACCGGCTGTGAAGCACTGCGGAAGAGGAAGAGACAGTACGTGCTGCCTGGTGCTGAAGCAAGTCGCCCAAAGCGGGGTGGGCCGTAATCCTCCTCCTCCTCCTCCTCCTCCAACGCCTCCGATGCCTGCCCACGCGCCCCGGACACACGCATACCCCCTCCCGCACACGCAAACACACACATTCCCACACACAAACACATACACACACATTCAGACACATACCCACCTGCCACCCGAGCTGCGGGAGCATCGCGGCGGCGGCCCGCCCGCCATGTCCCCGCCGAGAGAGGGAAGGAGCAGAGAGCCGAGCACACCCGAGATCCGTGGGACGAGGGCGATGGAGGGCTTCTCCTCGGAGGCTACGCAAATCCCGGTGCAGGCCCGAAACCGGCCTGCCACATTCGGACGACACGAGGCCAGCGAGACACGGGCAAGGAAGGGGTTGGCGGCCTGGAAATGGGCACCAACACCAAGACAGGGGGCTGCCTCCACAGGGGGGAGCTGATCCTAGATTTCGGTGGTGTGTCGGTAGTAGCATTTCGGCCACCTTGGGAGCCAGAAGACCACCACCATCACCGAGATCGAGCTCTTCTCCCCTCGGTGAAGGCACACCGCCGATATTGGTGTTGGTGTCAACCTCTACACCCTGCGAAATGCTTAAGATATCATGGGTTAAGAAATTCAGAGTCTCAGAACTTGAATAAAAACCCAACGTTTCCATTAAAATCTGAAGATTTGCATGGAAACGTTAAGAATAATCGAGACTCTGGCCGAAAACTTAAGTTTTCTTAAGCATCGCCCAAGGTGTAGGCCTGCGAAAGGGGGCACACACGGCATGTGCGGCACCACCGCCCCGCCCGGCAGACGGGGGCGGCGGCAGCAGGCGGGCGCGCGCTCCGCGCGCGAGGAGCCTGCAGAACGCCGCGCCGCGAGGCGGAGGGGCCGCGGCCCCCCCCATGAGGTGGCCTGCCCGCGCCCTCTTCCCTCCTCGGTGCCCTTCGTCGTCGTCGTCGTCGTCGCCCTCCTCCTCCTCCTCCTCCTCCTCCTCCTCTCCTCCTCCTCCTGATTCCTGATTCCTGAAGGCATGAGAAGCCCACGGATGCTGATCTCCTCCTCCTACTCCTCCTCATCTTCTTCTATTCGGCAGGCTGCATGGCGCGATCTTCCTCCTCCTTCTCCTCCTCCTCCTCCTCCTCTTCCGCGTCATAATTGTATTCCTCCCCCTGTTCATCCTCCTCTTGCCCATCCTCCTCCTTCTCATGCCATCATAACCACCACCACTATCATCATAATCATCAGCATCATTATCATCATCACCATCATCGTCATCATCATCACCACAACCATCATCATCGTCATCATCATCACCATCATCGCCACCACCACCATCATCAGCAGCCGCATCATGATCCTCATCATCATGATCATCAGCATCATCATCATCATTTTCATCATCAGCACCACCATCATTATCGTCGTCATCGTCATCAGCAACATCGTCGTCATCGTCATCGTCATCATCGTCATACTCATCAGCATCATCATCATCATCATCATCATCATCATCACAATCATCGTTATCAGCACCATCAACATCAACAGCATCACGAACATCATAATCCTCAGTACTATCACCATCCTCGTTCGTCATCACCATCACAATCAGAATCACCATCACCGTCACCACTGTCATCATCGTCATCATTGTCTTCATCGTTATCACCATCACCATCACCATCACCATCATCCCCGCTCGCTGCGCAGAAGAGCAGTCGTCTCGGGGCGGACGCGCGGCGCGCGCGCGGCGGGCCGTAGAGAGAGACGGGCCGCCGCGATCGCACCGTGCGGCGCACTCAGGTGGCCGTGTCCAACACGGGCCCCTGGACGACCATCAGGAGGTCGTAGCAGCGCCGCAGGCCAGCCTTTGAAGAAGGAGGGAGGTAGAGGGTGGGGGCCGAGAAGCTGCAGACGACTGCGTAGCGGGCGCGAAGGGGATAGAGAGGTGCATCCCCGCTCGCTGCGCAGAAGAGCAGTCGTCTCGGGGCGGACGCGCGGCGCGCGCGCGGCGGGCCGTAGAGAGAGACGGGCCGCCGCGATCGCACCGTGCGGCGCACTCAGGTGGCCGTGTCCAACACGGGCCCCTGGACGACCATCAGGAGGTCGTAGCAGCCATACCCATGCTCAAAGCCCTTGCGAAGTGACAAGAGTTCGGCGGGCGGCTGCGAGCTGAATGGGCCACCCGGCAGGGCCAGCATTCAGGAAGGACGCGACAAGGTAGTCGCTAACAGACGCACAGTACTCGACCAGAGACCGAGAGGCCTCAGGGAGGGCGGCAAGGACAGTAGAAGCGGCAGCGTCTTGCAGGTATCCCTCGGCGGTGGACGCCTGGCGCCAGCGGCCCCGCCAGAAGACGCGTGGCAAATGCTCCGTAGCGGCATTGAAGTCTGTGGCGCCTGTGCCTTGAAGGCCAACGGGTGTGATGTCGAACCCCGCAGGCATCTTGGCGAGCGGCACGCCCAAGCCGACAAGTAGATGGTTCCACCGAGTACGGAAGCCGCTCTGACCAGAGGTCGTGGTCATGAGCGGATCGGTGGGGCCCACATGCCGAAACACAATCTCCATAATTTTGACGGTCGCTCGATCCGAACAACGAGCGTATTGAATCGGATAAGACCGACAACTCTCAGGAACTGCAATCGACAAGAAGGCGTCGCCTTCCGGCTCAAAGCGGTCGCATGGCAGCGACAAGTCACAACGCTTCGCGTGGAGAATCTCGCCTGGACGCAGGGACATCGTGAAACCAGCCAGCACCAGGGCAGCCATCTCGGGCCACTCCCACAGCAGGCACAAGCTAACCATCGCGCGAAGGAGCGCTCGGGGAAGCGGCGGGCGGAGCCCGGGGAAGCTGCGGGCATGCCCGAAGAAGCGCGCTGGAGGCTCGGAAAGCTTCCACAATTTAGCAACATCCCAGGCCTCAGTCAGCAAACCCCTACAGTGAGGGTGATTGGCCTGCACGCCCAGCACGGCGTGAACAAGGATGTACTGCGGGAGCCCCGCGTCGTGGAGCCAAACTCCGAACGTGGCCAAGAAACTGCCTGCTAAGATCCCGCTGCGGTAGAGCGTGTCAGGGACGATGCCCGTGTGCTCACCAAGCCACAGCTCGAATGCAACGAGCGAGCGTGTACGCCTGCTCTCATCAGCGGGGGTGAAACGAGAGCCCTGGACGAACGAGATTCGCGCGAGAGGAGGCGCGGGGCTAAGGCCGCGACCGGAGTCAGCTGCAGCGGTCGAGCCAGAAGGCGTCGGCGCGGCTGGGGACAGCTCGGCCCCTGGGCCGTCTAGCGCCATAAGCCGCGGGCGCTGCCGCTCGCCCTGATGTGCGGCGTCAGCCGAAGACAGGACGGCGCCTGACCGCGGAGCGCTCGGAGGCGCAGCACCTGCTGCACGGCGGCGGCGGCGCGCGGGGTGGGGGACTCGCCGATGCCAGGTAATGGCGGCACGGCCACCGCCCTGCGGCGCCGTTTCAGCCTCGCTGTGCGGGACCGCACCTACCCTCGCCTCAGCCTCGGCGGCGCTGTCCACCTCCGCGGGGGCAGCCGGCACTGCCGCAGGCGCAAAAAGGTCCGCCGCCGCCGCGGGGGGCCCGGCGGACGCGGCCTCTCTGACACAATTGGCAAGACGTGAGCGGGCGCTGCACAATGCAGCCTTACGGCGCTCGAGCTCGGCGAGGAGCGGCAGGATACGCTCTGCCAGCTCTCCCGCGCTCTCCCCAGTCTCCGCACCTCTCTCCAGCTCGACCTCGGTCAGAGCGGCATCGACAGCGTCGACCGCGCTTCGGAACCGCGCCAAAGCACGCCGTTCGGCACGCGCGCGCCTGACCGCGGCCGCTGGGACAGCGACCTGGCTGGTGCGCATCGCAGCCGAGGTGGCCCACGCTCCGACTTGGGGCGGACCTTGGGCCGCGCGCGCAGAGGGCTCCAAGGACTCGGAAAAGTGTGGCGCAGCCGCCAGCGCCTCAGAGACCATGCCATGGGCAGCTTCCCTGGAGTCGGGGAAATCCGCGTTGCCAACGGGCGGGTCTCCCGCCATGGGCGCGGCGCTGAGCGCGGCCGCGAGTTCCAGAGACCTCGGAGCGGCCCTGGCACGAGGGGCGGCCGGCGGCACGGCGTATGAGGCGGCGGCGGGCGGCGAGGCATCATGCACGCGCGCACGGGCGCTCGACTGCGAACGATGCACGGAAGCAGGCGTGGGCACATCGTCGGCGCGCGGTGCTGGTGGCGCACTTGCGGCGCGAGCCGGAGGGCCCATGCTGGTCCTAGCGCCCCGCGCCGAAAGAACGCCAGGCGCAGCGCTAGGCGCGGCCGCGCGTTCCGGAGACCCGAGGCCGCCGCCGCAACACGCCGCCGACAAGGCCGTCCGGGCGCTGGCGGGAGTCGCGCCGGACACGGCGCCGACGGCCTCGGT